GCACTCACCTTAGTCTTGCGCGCATGACACCCTTGACAGCTACTCTTTCTACTCTTGATGTGACTCTTGCCGTGCAACCCACTGGAACCAGATGCCAAGATGTCCTCGGTCATAATCCGGCTCCTCGTCTTCGGGTTGACTATACTGTGTACCAAAGGAAGAAGTCGCCTCTTCTAGGTCTCTATTTCTGCGTTTTTGTCAATTGTCGATCTCGCGACGATTTACTATTGAATCGCCAGGCAAGACAAGAGAAGAGTTGCCGTGTGCAGCCATGGACTACAGGTGTGTAACGGAAACGGAAACGGGATCCTAGGCTCGCTACTACTCCACTCGGCGGGAAAGTATGCACTGACACCGACCACGGCGTGACGGCTTGATAGGTCGGAGTTGCTCGCCGCAGTCCGAGGTCCAGACATAGTCAGCTCAAAATGTGACCGCAACTTCCTTCTCCGAGTGGACAACCTCCACCTGTGCAAATTCACCGAAAGCTGCGCCGCGGCGTCTTGTGAGCGCCGCTTAGTCGTCGGTATGACCAGCTCGCATTGTATAGTTCTCTGGGGTACATCGGTACGCTTTTGGTGATGCACCGGCGTATGACTATGTGCCTACGGAGACGAGCGACGGGCTGTGCAAAGGTCTGGAATGAATGCTCGGGCGCTCGGCGAAGAGAAGCTTCCGGCGAAACGTCATCTCCGGTGCAGATCACTCCAAACTTACAAAAATAATATCATAGCTTGAGTCATCCGAAGCATTTCTGGTCGGGCCCAAGAAAAGTCTTGCTACCCGATTGAGAATGCAAAAATGAGTACCCTCGGGGGTGAGCCCGCATCGGACGATTCTAACAACTGATGTTGAAAACTGTATAATGTCCTTGTGCATTGCCATTGTCCGTGTCAAGAGTCCTTTAGAGTATACTACTACCATCTACTATACAGTTGAAACGTCTACAGCATAACTACCATGGCCAGAAGGGTCGAAACAAGAGTCCCAAAGCCGAGAGACCACGCTGAAAGAATCGAAGAAGTGGCACCGGAAGACGCGCCCAGCGCGACGGTTCCATTCGTTGTTGAAGGGCTAGGTGAAGAGGTGACTGAGAAGGATGACGTTGGCGCCGCACAAACTTGTTGCACGTTTGCCAATGCCGTTACCATACACTGTGCTAAAGCAGAGGATGATGCAGACGAGGTGCAAGCGCTAGCTGAAGCAGAACTCGACGAGGCAGCCTTCTGCGATGCGTTCAGAGTAGATGTAGTTGTAGCTGTAGGTGTCGCTGATGTGGTCGCCTCTTCAGAAGAGTGTGTAGTGGACGATGATTTTGATGTTGTTTTAGACGATTTACTCGAACCTAAGGCATATATTAGCTAGGATTCCACTGAATATATTCTTGTTTGCAAACTTACCTTTACAAGATTCAGTCACGGTTACAGCTGGTAATGTGACGGTGCGTGTTGCGTATAAGGTTACAGTAGCTTTTCCACCAGTCACCGTCGCGCCTTGACCACCACCCGTCTGAGTTCCAGCACCGGTACCACCTCCAGTAGCCTTTGTAGCACTTGGTTTAGAGGTTTCTGTGTTGCCGCTGCCGTTGCCACTGCCACTGCCGTTGCCACTACCGCCACCGCTACCGCCACCGCCACCATTGCCACCGCCGCTGGCGTATATCGTGGTCACACTTGGAACGGTAGTGGTGACAGGAATTGCTGTTGTGATCGTGGTTCCACCTTGAACTATGGTGCTGAGTATCGTCGTTGTGATCAGGGACACTCCACCCGTTTGAGTGATTGTCTGTACTTCGGAAACAGTAGTAGGAACTAGGATGGTGGTGACCACTTTTTTTCGTCAGCTTTGATTCCCACTTCTATGTCTGAGTCAACTCACCGCCACTCTCGCTGAGTACAGAGGTGATGAATTGAGTCACCACATCTGTCTCGGTCATGCTGGAGACCAGGGTAGTACCTGCCTCAGTCAGGGTGGTGGTCTCAAGGCTCGTGACTGGAATGAGAGACGTGATGATGCCTGGGTTCTATCAGTACATGTTCTCTCACTCCTCAAGATACTAGTGACTCACTCGTTGTGCCGTTTTGCGTAACAGTGGCCAGTTCGGTCTGCGTTTGAATATCGGTTATTGTCTGGGTGACAATTTGACCAGGCTGAGTGATGGTTGTGGGAACAACGATTTCAGTCGAAACCGTCTCGGTCACAACAACCGTTTCGCCAGCTCCGGTGAGGGTAGTGACTAGAGTCGACGTGGTCGGTTGTAGTACAGTAGTGGTGACCACGCCAGTACCAGCTTGAGTGATCGTTTGCGTGACGACCTCAGTCTCTACGGTGGTGGTCCCTTCCACGACTGTGGTGACCAACGAGGTGAATGTGGTCGGGACCAACACTGTCGATGTGATTACATCCGTAATGGTGGCACCGGGAGCTGTGATGATCTCTGTTGTTCCGGGAGCTGTTGTGACTTGCGTAATTGTGCTTCCTGGGATAGTAGAAGTCACCACTGTTGGGACGCCTGCCTGAGTTGTTGTCACAGTAGTGACTATTGGTGGGCTAACAGAAGTGACAGTAGTGACCTGACCAGGTATAGTGATAGTTTGAACCGCTCCAGACACAGTCACAACAGAAGTTGTAACAGCTCCGGGCGCAGTGGTTACAGTAGTCACAGTACTGGCTGGGAGAGTAGAAGTGATTGTCGTCGGTACACCAGCCACTGTAGTAGCAATCGTAGTGACGGATCCAGGCAAAGTCGAGGTGACTGTTACGGGTACGCCAGGTTGGGTGACCGTTAGAGTGGTCACTACACCGGAGGCAGTGACTGTACCACCTGGAGCAGTTGAGACCGTTGTGACGGTCACGGGAGGTAGGGTAGATATCACCGTTGTGGGGGTACCTGCGATTGTGGTCGCAATGGTGGTCACTACTCCCGGTTCTGTAGAAGTCACCGTGACAGTTGAAGCAGGGCTGGTATTGGCTGCGAGATACAGAGTCAACACCCAGAGCATGATGACAGAGGCGACTTGGACTTACAGGCTGTAACGGTTACCGTGGTAGAGGAACAAGTGTCGGCTTGAGGTTGCATGATATGGGTATCCGTTATGGCAACTCCAGTCTGACCGAGAATCCGACCATTGACGGTAGTGCCGGTCCCCAAGGTGACCTGCGTAGCGGCGAGGGCTATCCCCTGAAACTCTGCACCTGCTCCTACTGTCAAGGTCCCAGCGACCTGCCAGAAGACCGTAGACGGTGTCACGCCTCCGACTAGTACGATTGCGGTGTTGGCAGCTTGTGCGAATGTGCCACTAGGATTCAAAGTCAGTACGAAGACCGGAAGAATACATTCTCATAAACTCACGGGATCTGGAAGATAAAGACGTCTCCGCAGCTACCACTCAAGATGACATTGGATGCGATTGTCACGGGTGTATTGAATGCGTGTACACCGGGAGCAAAAGTCACCCCTCCAATCTCTCCAGAAGCACCTTCATTTGTGTCATCGGGGGTTCGCCCAGCAGCATCGTTATACGCTGTGAGCTGATCATTGACGGCAGTGGTCAGAGTTGCAGGTGTGGGAGATTTGTAGTCTGCCGCTGTGACATGTTCGGAGACATATTGGGAGGTTGCTGAGATGGGCGATTACATCAGTCAGAGCTCTACCGACACAGAAAAACGGAGACTTACCAAACTGGCCACTGGAATCAAGCACAAGATCAAAGCCAGTGATCAAGGTAGAAGCCGCTGGACTCAAACCGACGTTCCCAACGATGTACGAGTCCCCTGTATTGGTGATAGTAGATTCACCAAGGACAGCGTAATTGCCGGCGGTGCCAAGATTAACAGTGGCTGTGGCAGCAAAGGCAGGTGTGGACTGTTGTAGCTAGTCAGCGGGAGTAGTCAGACTCAAGGGTAATAGTGCCCACCAGTATTGCCAAGAGACCGAGTGACTAGGGACCAGGCCATCAGCAACTTGAACACAATCCAACGGTCCTTCCAACCCACCTTAGCGTATGTGCTGGCTTGAAAGAATCGCATGATGGAGGTGGCGAACGAGGAGAATTGTCGATTGTCCAAGAAGACGGGAGGTCGAGATACAACTCAGACCCCCCCCTTCGAGGCTTGAAATATTATAACCATCTGATGGCCAGAGGCTCTTTCAGATCTCGAGGGACAATGGGGAAAAGACGAAAAGTAAATGCTTGGTCAACGACTTCTTCGGGCCATACCTTAATGCCTACAATATCGCAGCCTGTCCTTGACGCCCGTTAACGACCTTCTTCCGGTAACGGGAGCCTGCGATGTTATAGTCATTAAGGTATAGCTAGCGGAGGGTCATCAACGCATGGCGTCGACAGTCGACACCCATTCTCTCCTTGACAGTGGTCAGGGGTCTTCTTGTGCCAGATCACCAGGACAGCTGTTGAAAACAATGATATAGCCTGTCCACCCGCTGTTGAGCAAGGTCAGTAGGAGACAAAGGTCTCTCAGTGGCCGTCAGTCCTCCTGGAATTGAGATGGCTCGTTTGTGTGCCTTGATTGTCTGAGGTTCCAGATATACTTTACTTCCGGTGATGATGTGATATCCCTGCTAAAGTCAATAGGCTATCGAGGTAAACAAGTCAGAAGGCAGATGACGCTTTTCAGGGGTATTAGTCTTTCAACCACATAATCAGATTATCGTTTGAAGGTCGATGTTGACATAAACAATGTAGCCGCAAGTGGTCTTTAGGGTTGAAGAATTGCCTCTGTCAATTGTGGACCTGACTTATCAGGGACCCGACGTTAGCCCGAAGAGATAATATGCCGACGTGGTCACGTGTACAATATGTTGTTTCCGACATCAATTATAATGAAGATGTTTTATGCTCATTCCAATGGACTTGCGGGGACATCACGTAGATGAATGTGTTCCATATGGTAGTAAGTGTGTTGTGTTGCAGCGAGCTGTATGATGCTGGAAAACGAGGAAAACGAGTAAAGTAGAGCAAAAAGTCAAAAAGAGTGGATATCCCCGGTGTGAATCGAACACACGTTATTTCGGTCGCTGTGAACGCCACAACGAAACGTAATAACCACTATACGACGGAGATCTCTGGTGGAAACTCCGAAGTTCCGGACATCATTTTCGATTCTGACAATCTATATATACTGAACAAATGTGCGGTAAACACAAATACGAGATGGGCCATTTCGTGTAGGTGTTGTTCACCTCTGCTTGTGTGTGATCATCGCCAAGGGGACATGCATTCCTCGGCTCTGAAAACAAGTGAATAGCTAGGTCTTTCGTTGTGGAATGACGTCGTGCACCTGAGATAGGTCAATCTCCCTGGCTGGAATCTGGCTCATGACTGTGTGACAGTAGTATTTCAATGGAAGAGAGGGCAGGGGGCCATCACTACCGAAGCAAAAGATGCTGGTTCATATATGGTTGAGCAAGAGACGCTACGGGGTCCTTTCCGCGATGTCTAGAATAGGGTGCATCCTCTGTCTTGGCCGTGGACGCCGGATCAGTAACTCCGGCCGTTGTTCTGAGTGAAAGATGTTCATGATGTAAAACGATCATTCAAGCACAAGAACCCACATGTTTTCGGTCTGATCGGGTCCAAATGAGCAGTTGTGAGGAGCAAGGCTCCTGAAAGAGGGATGTTCGTTATAGGGAGTCAGGTTGAACCGTAGGTCGATGCCCTACAATGACCCCGGCTACCTCATCAGGCTGATGGTGCAGATGGTCTAGAGGCCTGAAAATTCAAGCTAGGCTTGGGACCTTTACATTCAATTGTAAGACCTCATCCAAAGTTTGCCCACTCTAGGGAGTAGAACTCAACGTCGCCCTCCTTCTCCTCGTCACCAATTTCGGTATCGATCGGTCTAACTCCATCATCCCAACAGCACAACAACCCGGCCTTCTTCGTGCCTGTTCCTAGTCTTCCCCAGGCAACGAGCTCTCCCGGCTTGATCGGTTCATCCCGCACAATAACCTGACTAGTAAAGTGGGCATGGTAGCGAAGATAATCTCCTGGATAAACGAGATATTCGCCGCCAAAGCGTGGTCCGAGGCCGGTGCGATAGCCGCGGGCTTGCAGAGCTGAGAAGACGCCAAGCAGGGCACAATGTCGGGGCGTAATCGGGAAGGGGAAGAGCGGGTGTGGAACGGAAGTGATTGGTGCAGAGAGACTCAAGTCCGGGTATGCAGGAAGAGCCGAAAAAGCGTAAAAATGTCCATTCGATGATGGTGCCGTCTTGTCGGGGGAAGTCGCACTTGCAGGTCTGTCTGGTAGGCTGGTCGACTGGCCTTCTCCTTCAAACAACGAGCTCTCTGTTGATTTCGCCTTCTCCGCCTTAACTCGAGCTCTTGCCTCCCGTTTTAACCTCGCTTTCTCCCCGCCTTTCTCAAAGGCTTGTTGGCGATTCCTCTCCTTGTTCTGCGCAGCAGCTTGTAACTGAGCTTCGATCCGCTTGATCCGCTCCTTTCGAGCTGCTGTATGTGCGGCAACCTGTTCTGGTGAAGGAACTAACGCGTAAGGATCCGTAGCCACAGGAACAATATGAGCGATACCTTCACGACGATCAGTACTGGACTGTCCTGTATAGCGTGTGTCTCACCACTTCTGACGAGATATGCCGTTTCCTCCTGCATGAGTGTTATCGGCAGACCCAGAAATCCGTTCTGCTGAGACACTCCGGGCAATGTTCCGACTCGAAGCCCTGATATTGCATGATCGCAATGAAGTGTAGCGGCAACTACCCAAGAAGATCAGTCAATTCTGATGAAAGGCAGAATTTTGGCAAACCTTGCGCATCCCAGACGGTCGCTACGCCATTGACGAGATAGAGAGGGATGGTCTGTCGCTTCTCACTGATAGCTGTTGAGGATTCGCCTGGCTTCTCTAGCACCAAAGCCATCTCAAAACCCCTGTGAAATTGAGAGTCGAGTTGGTCCGAGTGTATCACAACGAGAAGCTTGACAGAGAGTTGGAAGATTCGGTGGCCAAGTCACGTGACCGGCCATCGCCTTTCGGTCGGACCGGTCATGGTACGAGTTCAACTCACTCTGGCAACAACACTCGTACAAAACGTCCACTTTGTTCTCCATCAAGGCTCGTCCACCCAGAGACCTCTCTCCAGCTGGAAAGTATCGCATTTATTGGCTACCCGGCCGACAAGCAAAGCTGGTCCGTCGTTGCATCGCTCTCGATGTCTCGGCATTGGAAACATGCGTCTGGAGAATTTAGATGATGGCAGCAAGTGAGTTGCTGTCTATAATGCTTTGCTGATAACAAGGCTGGAGGCTGCATGGACTGAAGCATTGAGCTCATCCCTGGCTTATTTTCGCGCACTTCTGTCATCCTCCTCCTCTTCAGCATGGAAGCCTGTTTCGGTTCAACCCTTAACCTCGTCATCGACAGCTCGCGACTCTGGTCAAAGTCAAGCTCACGAGTCCACCATCGGTAGAGTTCGGCCAAACGAGGTAAATGTGCATAGAAGGAGTGGGAAAGGCGGAGAGGTTTATCGCGCGGTGGTAGAGGTGGATTGCGGCACGGATGTCAACGTGGACACCTTTAGAGGATGCTTGGTGACGCCTGAGACGAGGCCGATGTGTGAGTGCAAGTTCTGATCAAGGCTGATGGAAGGGGATCGCATGGTGGAGGAAGCTGTCACTGTAGACCTGTTAGATGCTCACACGAGGATAACGAGGACCAAGTATCGGTTAGGTTGGCCATCAAGGTGAGCAGCCCGGTGCGAATGTTTACTGATCTCAGTCCCCGAGACGTTGTCACCATTTCTAAAACACTTGTGGATCAAACAACACTGATTGACATCACTACCTCTCTTCCACGGTCTCGACATGAACCGGCGTATCTTCGACCGTCTCCACCCTACGTTCGGGCTCAAATATCCTTACTCGCGTGGTGCATTCAGCTGCCCTCATTGTCCAACGCGTCCGAGCTGTCCCCGCCGGAAGGAAGAGCTAGAATTACTGCCTTTTGGTCCTGGAATCCCAAGGGTGCATGGGCAGCGGGTGGAGGCGTCCCCCAGCACCTTCCATCGCTAGTCACGGGTCTGGTAGACTATGTACGAGAGGGCAGCGAGACGGTTCCCGTTCTTCTGGGTTATGGACCAGATGTCAGTATTGGAGCTGTTGATTTCGACACGGCTCGGGAGACCTTGGCGGTCGGCTATGCCATTGTTGGCAACACCGAAGCTGAGACTGGTCTCACAAGACAAGTCGAATTCGGCTTGTCCTCGACACAAAGCTGGGACGTGCAGATCCACGTCAAAACTCAACATGGTGAGGACTCGCCATCCACGGCCTGGTCGTCCTTCGTCGGACAAGCACCGGCACCAGGCGCATCGTCTGCGCCAAAACGACTCATACTGCGTTTCGCTCATGCAGCCCTTGCCCCAGGCGAAGAACTCGTCCGAGTCCGAGTGTCAATCGAGCGCACATCCGCTAACGGTGGAGTCCGCATCAACGGCATCCCTGTTACTATTGAACCGATGCGATCCACTAGTGTTCGGAGACCTTTACTTGACGAGACGGCCAGCACAAGTGGTATCTCACTGCGAACCCTGAGCACCGTGGCAAGCGAGCCAAAAGTCGTGAAAAAGCCACAGTCATCAAAGGAGGCCGCAAATGAGCGTAACATAGCTTCTCTGATCAAACGCAATTATATCTGTATGTACGACAGGAGGTCTTCGCTGACATTAGACTTCACATCACTGCTGCAAGAGCCCGAAGCCAAGTGGCGCCCCGTCGCAGATTCACGAGGCGTGGCGGTACACCAGCTAAACTCGATCGACAAGACTCTCGTTGTGTTCCGGGCTGAGGCGGTGTTTGTTGGGGTAGGGATCTGGGATCTATTCGCTACGATTGCCACTCCTGGCGCTCGACTCGTATGGGATAAGACACATGACGAGTCGGTTTTACTTGAAGATATCAACGAGCTCAGCGATCTATGGCATTTTAAATCGAGGGCGGCATGGCCGGTCGCTGCCCGAGACGCTGTGATGCTGAGGACGACCTATAAGTCGCCTTCTTCCGTGCACATCTTTGGTTTCTCGGTGGATGACAGCGATCTTTTTCCACGGATACCCCCGAGTATCGATCCAACCATCATTCGTACGCAGATAGATCTTCAGGGATGGTCAGTCGAGTCACTTTCTCCCAACACGACTCAAGTCACGCTTCTCGAGCAGAGTGATCCTCGGGGATGGTCAAACAAATCGTCGATACCGCAAGTCATGATGAATACTCTAGCAAGAATAGGCGAATTTGCGATCAAGCACGGTGCACCACCAATTGCGACCAGATTTGGGGGTGCAAAGGCAATTGCTTGCAGATACGACGTGGAACAAGAGACTTTTCGCGTTGAATACGACGCCGCGGAAGCAAGACGATCTGACTCCTCCAGCACGATCACGGCATTTCCTCTGCCAGTTGCAGTTTCCGCAGGCACGAACGAGAGCGAGACAAGCAGTCTCAACTCCCTCGTCGTCAGACCGCTTTCGAACGTCGAGTGTGAGATCCGGTGTGACGCTGACAAGTGGGCGAGCAATATCGCCATCATGATTGATCCTCCTCCGACGGCTGTCTCGGCCCTCAAGCGGCATCGTCTATCGTCCAGTGGTGGTGGTTTATGGTTAACAGTCGAGCATGATGCGATGGCGCTGAAGAAAGATAGAGTGGTCGTTGCCATAAGGCGTGGAGCATTAGTCCCCGGAGCCAAGACCACCGTCGTCGTCAATGGAAGCAAGATCCGCGTTGATATCGAAGATCTCGGAGAGTCGGATGTGCAATTATTGAAGAAGCAGAAGAGATCCCGACCAACTCGAGCTCCGCTCGACCAGCCTCCAGCGCTTGGGACGCTGCGCAAGAAGCAAAGCAACCTCGAGCTGTCCCCTGCATCCATCGACCGCGACAGAACGCTGACGCCGTCGACGGCCTACACGCGCCTCGCTATGCCTCTTGCTCGGTGGTATACGGCTGCAGCGGTGTCGACCAAAGCCGCTATTATTCCCATGGGTACGCCCGTCAATATTCCGCTGGCCGGTACTACTTCTGTCGATGCTGCAGTACGTGCCCTGACAC